CCCCCCCCCCCCCCCAACCCAGACGGGATGAGCTACAAGACCAGTCAGCCGTGTCTTCATAATGGGCGCTGCCTCTGGATTTCAAGTAGGCAACACCTCCATAAGGAGCTCACAAAATAGGAAGGCGCAAAGACGTTTGGTGCGTTGATCGCGGCAACAACCGATACAAGTGCCTACATAATGATCCCTTGCGAATTAATCAGCTTTGAGAGGGATTGTGATGAAGGTCAGAGGCGGCAGTACTGAACTCCAACAGTTTGCTGTGAGTTAAACTTGGAAGTCCTCGCTAGAGGTTTCATCATGGCCTAGCGTGGACGCTAGAGGCAATGAGGAAGCACTTTTGCGTCATGAAGGAGCTGAAACCCCCCAACTGGCTGCAGAACACTTCAAGTTTTACACGTGCGAATGCATTGCCCACCACAGTCGTTCCCAAACTGCCATTTTAAAATTGTATGCCTCCAGATGATCAAGACGGTCACAAATTTTTTTTATTATGGAATGGAATCGGTCTGGTGTGCACCCAAATACACCCTCAACCACGCTGTTGTGGTTACAAGAGTTGCGGCGGTGATTAGAGGCTCACCAGATTGGAACCGCGACCAAAAAGGCACTTCATGCACTAAAGCGCATTAAGTTTTTTGCAAATAAGGAGGATCTTGATCCTCAATTGAAGACTAGTTGTTTTGCTAACTGCTGTTTGCATGGCAGATGGAATTGGGGACTAGAAGTGGTTCACAGTCATTAACGCCTATTGTACTGTGCCCCCTTGGAGGAGTTCAAAGAGCGCCTTAATGGAGTGATGGATGAGAATTTCAAGAGACTGCCTGAAATTATTAGAGGCAATAAAAATAACCTGTCGAAGTGAGAGTGGACTTTCTTTAGCAACGTCATTTTACACCGTGCTGAAGTAATCCAAACGATGAGCAGATAATCACGTCATGACGATACTTTGTGATCGCATGGGCTTTGTGATGCCCTCTGGAAGGCATCATTGATTGCCCGCTGCCCGTAACCACGTCGATTGCATCCACGCACGCAATTCGACTCTGCTGCCATGCCCTGCATGCCACTACACGCATACAACTGTTACACTCTCGTTTACTTAACCACTGAAGTTATCGCATACAAATGATGAAACGCTTTATTTATTTGCAAAATTTGTCTCCTCCCCAGTGGCACTAGTGGAATACGGTGATGCTCAACACGCCCAACACAACCCGCTGAATGGTGCCTTCGCGTTCTGCCCATCCTATGCGGATACTGACACCTCAGTGCTTCTTTGCTCACTACACGATCTCATTTGTGCGTCAAAATGCAAATGCAATCAGCGGTCTCACTGCTTCAAATCGACACTCGGACAGCGGTGTTGGCACAGCCTACTTTGCCGCGTTCAGTGTTTACTAGTGTGCACATAAAATTGGCACAAATAAGCGTTTCATTTGGTTGCATACTTCAGCATGGAAACTTCGCTCCAAGTACACGACTTGAACAGTTGATTGATGGACAGAATTGGGAGGTTTAGTGGCGAACTGAGTGGTGAGTGTGAGTTCACTACTTGCTTTCTCAGCACTGGCTTGAGGCAAGGCGGACGGTGAAACGGTCTTCGAGAAATTGGGTGCATTTATCAAAGCCCAATCAAGGACAGGCATTTGTAAAAGATGATTTTAAGGCCTGTTGTTTATGCTAGAAAGGAATTGTGCTAAAGATGGTACTTCTGATGAGGGAACATTTCTGTTCTATGAGCCGAACCCTCCTTCAATGACTACTTGAACGCGTGTTTTTCAAGCCATTCAACACTCGCACACTTTGGACAGCGCAATTTTCTCTCCCTGCTGACACCAATCAATGCGTATTTTATTGCTCAAAGGGAAAATCTTTTGAAAGGAAAACGATGAACGCGCTTATTAAACAAATGGTGGCAAAAATAATAAAGCATAGTGGGGGAGCGCTGTTTCTCCACCTTTTCTTCTGCATCCACACGCCTCCAACGTAATGCTGTAGTATCGTCGTTTTAAGTCAAGTACCCGCAACGTCCTAGGTCCTAATTTTACACGAATGAGAGATTTTAAAAACATTGCTGCTTTCAGCATTGAATAAGTGCTACTTAAAACACATTTTCAGTAGCTTAAACAAATTTCGCACAAATAATGAGCCGTTCAATACAGGACACTTTTGTACTACGCTGAATGTATTCATTGTCAGACTGGTCTCTTGTTCTACAGACGCAGAAATATTTGGCAAATTTTAAAAGGCGGCGCTTCGTAAATTCGCGAAATGTAATGCAGTGTTTGATCGAGATGGGCAGGGCTTTTGAAGTCTGCGGAGCCGACGATCAGCTGTAAATTATTGTTTTCAGACTAAAAAAGTAGTAAGCAAAAATTGTGTCTTTTTGACGCCTTCACATGCACCAAGGGGCAACATTGCCATTAGCGACGTACTAATCAAGGCTCGGTAGGAAGTAAACAAAATCTTGCCATGTGAGCTTTTTTGGAAAGAAACTGAAATGTCATCGAGCAAAGGCATACGGATTATTAAATATGTTTATGCGTGTGCTAGATTATGCCTTGTTACCACGAGCATAATAATGATGTGAAATTTGTTCCCCTGCTTTTGTGGTTTCCCACTCACCTTTATGACACTTAGTCATGGCGACAGATTGTCCCCTGTGGCAATGCTGATCCCTCCTAGGGCGTAAAATACAGAAGTGGGAAAAGGTAAACTGCGTCAGAGAATAAATTAAGCGTAGAACAGAGAGACCAAGACAGTCCACTTGGCATCGACAACGACAGCATTTACGAATTGTGGCCACGGCCATCGGAGTGGGTTGAAACGGCTTGAAATACCTCAGTCTTGCTAGATTTTACTTCAGCTCTGTAACGTGGCCATCCAGCTTTGCGGATTGTCCACTCACCTATTCTTCACGCTGTTGGTGCGTGCTCTTCCACGATATTTAAGGTTATGCCATCGTAAATGCAGGCCCGTGACACTGCTTTGGCAGGAGGGGCAGGTGAACTAGACCTGATGCTTGTCATAGTGACACCCCAAAGTGACAGTGAAAGAATCATCAGCGTACAATGCGGACAGCGTAGTAGCTACTGGAAGGGATGCTACACTTGAAGCGAAGTGCTTTAGGATTGTCTGTTATTTGACGTCCTGTTGTGTGGCCCGGTTTCCTTAGGCCTAGATAGTGGAAAACCACTTAGTCGGGTTTCAAATAGCAAAAAGTTGGGGAGTGTGACATCACCTAACATGGTCTACAAAAAAATGCAGCTAAGATGCAACGATGATGCCTCCGTGTACACGTGGCAATCATGCTAAACTTAATCACACATGTAAAACTGCTAATAATGAGGTGCTACAGCGAATCCATAAGTTCTTAAGTTAATGGTTATCTGCTGAAATCAGTTAAGGTGGCAACTATTTACAAGGCTGAATTTAAGCCGCACTGCAACAATGTTTAATGAAATTTTAATGCCATCGAAGCGCTTGATCCCATTTGTAAGTAGCGTTTTTATCACTGTTTTTAATGGTTGAAGGCGGAAAATCAATTCGAATATCGTGCTAAAGGAATCTGTGCAGGAAACGACTTCCCCCAGTAAGCAAACCGCGTCCTCTATACACTCCTTGCCCAATGCCGAGTAAACCTCTACCAAGAAAAGACTCTTCCAAAGTCCTATGAGTGCGAAGCCCAAACCGACGGCAACCGATAAGGTTAAAGAGAGAAACACAGGGTTATGCGCGCGATTAGCCGCATCACGTAGTCATCCTCGTCATATCGAGTCAGAGAGTTGAGTTAATAGCCTGGTGAGTGTTCTCTGCAACATTAAGCAGCAAACCTGACTCTGACTATTTTAATTCATAAATTACATGCTTTCGTTGCAGTAGCCTAAAAAATTTATTATGATTGATCGCTTGTGTTTTATTGTAAATGAATGAGAAAATATTGGGGCTTTAAAAGAACAAAACCAGGGGTTTACGTATCTCAAAGTAGGCAGGACGGATTCACAGAGGTAAATGATAGTCATTTTGATTTAATTGTAGTAACTGTTGCTGTGGTACGATATTTATGTTTATGTCTGTCCGTTACTTTAAGAATCGTCCGCACCTTGTATGCATAAGATGGCATTTGGGCCAAGCTCAGGCCTACTTCCTTTGTCCCTTCTCGAATACCTACATAGAGCTCCACGTCATGTCTTCTTCTACCCGGTGGAAAGTTTCGCGCCGCTGCACTTACAACCTTGCAAAACATCAGCACTGCTACGGCTTCCTAACTGTGATGGATACCAGTTGCTTAAATTGGCCTTTGCATGAAGGAGTTAGGGTGTGGACAAAAATATCGTACTAGGAGAGTGTGGTGGCTATTACAGTGGCATCCAATCTTCTCTTCTGGTCCCCTCCCGCAGTTTCCATAATTTAAAGGCCGTTTAAGAAAGGTTTCTTAGGCATCTCCATAAGACGTAGGCTGGAAGCGAAAACAGAGCACAAGTAGACGTATTTACACTATTCTTAGAAAGGATTCTGACACTTCTTCGAAGCAGGATTCGTATCGCTTCCCGTCTCTCACCCACAAATGACAGTTTTGACAAAAACAATCACTATTCTGTTACTTAATTTGCGATAAACGGCAAAGTTTAAGTGTGTCATTTAAAACGCTATGCTTAAATTTAGTTTCGTTTATTTTTTAAATTTTAAATTATTTAGAATCTTTGGAATTTATGCAATATTTTGTTTAGATAAGTAAACTCGACTAATAATAAGGTCGGACAATCCGTGCGCAATCTGAGCGGCATGCGATAACCGATGATAGAATTATGAAGCAAGGCTTTCTTAGCAGATTTACAAGGTTTGTTGGGCATATTATTCCTTGAAGATGTAAGATCTGCGGGTTGTGCTCCAGTAGGTTGGCCGGCAGATGATGTTGCGGAGATCGACGCTTCCGTAAATGAGTTGAAGAAGATAACTTCAGATATTCTCAAAAAACTTTCGTCATATCTGCCTCCTAATTCTTCGTCAACTGTGCGGTCGTTGGATTTAACACCATTCCACTTCGATCCGCTGCAACTATCTGGAGGTTCTGGAGATCGCCTAGTTAACAGGGCAACAAAATTAGAGGAAATTCGTCAAAAGAATTTACCTACTCACAATGCTCTTCATTCTGAATTTAATGGATCTAGCACGTGCTCGAACGATACGAGGTCGCAGGAGCACGATTCAAATGCCGAAGGCGACAGCGGTTCCTACGAAGCTTCCTCGTCGAAGGAAGCCTCGAAGAACGGTGAATCTAGTGAAACTCGTTTCTTCACAAATGGCAATGCAATGGTGAGTAACTGCTGGAATTTATTTTGCAAAAATGGAGCTGAAATTCTGTTGCAAAGTTATACTAATGATATAGGTACACTTGTGCCGCTCCTCCTATTTACCATGTCTGTACGGGTAAATGCCGCCAGTGCATTTATGTCTCTAGTCTTTTTCTAGCTACATAAGGACTGTTGAAGATTCTTCGTGTTAACTGCGTCAATAGCGTTCCCCCTCAATTTTCAAACCATTTTATTACAACACCTAAGATTCAATCAAAACTAAGCTTTCTGAACCGTGACTTCTGCTGCTCTAGAATATGTCTGAAAAGTCTGATCAAACTTTTGTAGTGAGCGAATTGGGAAAGGTATAGTGATTAAGGTGTCGTGTTCCAAGTTTATTACGTACACAAAATGTCGGTAGAGTTTGAAAGACCATTTGGGACTCCAAATCGAAACTCTTTCAGTTCGGTCTCATTTATCTCCCACTTAGCCGCTTCATTAAAACCTAAGAAGCATTTCTCCAGTCGATTTCAAAATCTTCATATTTAATCTAGCTTTAGTGTTTTGTACTCCTGTTCTGCTCTTACAGAAGTAACACTGGTTATTTCAATTGATCAGTAAACTCATTAAACCTATTCACTCGTTTTTTCTCTCACTCTCCTTCCTTCCATTGAAACCAATTTTATAACATTAATCATTGAAAGTCGTTTCTTCCTTTTAAATTCACTGATCCGAGTTTTATAGTTATCACGACTTATTTCACTGGTATGAAAGCATTTGGTGATCTCGTCCTTCGATTATGCAACCCCATTTGGCATGTGCTTTCATTGGTTGGCCGCCTTTTTGCCCTCCTCATGCCCAAACTCGTCACTCATTTACCCACTCACTCGTGACCTTGAGACAACCAATAGCCGTGCGCACTGGTGGCCTATTGATCAACAGCCACGCACCGGTGCGCGTCTGCGCCTGTTAGCGCGCGTTCCTGCGTGGGTGCCTCCTCGTATCCGTACATGCGTAGTCTTCTCGGTCGAAGGACAAAATGCTAGTACGCCTTTTCAGCGCATTTACCGTTTGAGCGAATTTCCTTCATTCCCCAATAAAGTGGACTCGAGATCCCTAATCCGCTCACAAATCCTCTTATTGTTGACCATTTCGTAGTCGGTTATTTGTAATGGGCGATAGATTTACTACCGTGAGATAACATCTTTTGATGAATTTGAAAGTAACAGAAGCTTGAATCAGTCATTGGGTGACGCAAATGATTGGGCGTGTAAACTACACACTTGTGTGTTTGCCCCTTTTTCACTGTCTTCAAGCAACTCCAGGCTAGACGTTGAAACATCTAGTTTATAATAAATTGACAGACTAGATTGTATTTTGGCAGTAGGAATTTGGTTATTGAGATACTCCAAACATTTAAAGTTGCCGGATGTTTGGCTTAATTTGCAAACATGTGACGCTCGGATACTTTTACCTGATGCCACAACCCAAGCAACTGCGATGTGTGCGGTTCGTTATTAAGAAAACATGATCCTCTGTCTGCCCCCATTGAATTGTCACCGATTTTGGAATCTAACTTCATTAGGCTCCGTGTTTCGCTTTTCCAAATTGCGGGAGAGGGGAGAAGGAGGGAGACGAGTTGAGAATATATAAGCTTTCCTCCTAATTGGCTCTTTAAGCGTGCACCACTTGTTCATCCATGCGGCCATCATCAAACTCGCATTTGATCATAAAGTGGTACAGCAGCATTCCACCAAGTTGTCTCCCTTTCAAACACTTCTCCAACCGTGCATTTGTAAGTTAATCCACACTCACCCACCCATTTTCAGGGGATCGTTGTAGCGGACTGGGGAGTGAATCACCGGCGGACAGTGTCCAAGCCCTTAATAGTGAGACACTAGACCTATCTACTTCCCCTAGTTGTTCTTAATAGGAAAATCCGGAATGTCCATGAACAAAATGGACAAATAATTAGGTCGTATCAATTGCCATCATCGAAGTTGGTTGTTGTAAGTGAAATTTCAGAGCCTACTTATGGGTGCTAAGATTCCTTCGCAAAAGGTGAAGTGTTTGAAGGGAGACCTAGGCAGAGGCGAGTCTCCACTTTTCCCATCAATGGCGAAGAGTCGAAATTCCCGTTTTGAGACTTCGTTAGCATTAACTAGAATGTGAGCCATCGACGTCTCGACGCCATTATAATAGAAATCGTGTTTCGACATTGAGTTCCTCGTAGCCACTTTGCCATTTGTGATCTGTTGGATGCGCCTTGGAGCTCTTTGAATGCCATTCGATGGTGTTGTTGAAGAGGCTGATGCGGTTGAGCTCCCAACTCCAAGTCGGTAGGATAGTGTAACCGAACGCTTGATAGGCGACTGAACTGTGCTGCACAAAGTACTTCAAAGGCTATTGAAGCATTCTGGAGCGCGAGAAAAGTTCCTGCCTCCTAATCGAGAATTGGGAGGTGGAACAACGCTGACACAAGTCCCAAAAGTGCATAAGTAGTAGTCACCTTGCCTTCACTCCACTCCTTTACACCGCACCACAAAGCAGGTGGCTTGGCTTGGCTTGGCGTGCTGTTAACAGCGCTATTGCTTCACACGGCAAGAAGTTCAGATCACGAGAACTATGCACCACATACACTTCTGTTTCAAAGTTTATTTCATTTTTTTTTTTAATGGAAGAAGAACCTGTGCCATGACAATGCCTGAACCCGGTTAACAGTGACTGATGGGAGAGGGGAACAGGAACGGCGCTCCCGTTTTTAAGCCATAAGAGGCCTGTGAATCCATAGTTAAATATTCTTTTGTCCGATGACTCAACTTACTTTGTGTCCTGGTGGTACTGACCCGATGGATCTAAGCTTCTTCTCTGTGTGGTCATTGTTTATGTAGTGTCTTCAAATTTTCTTCAAAAATTGGACCTTCTATGCCCTCGGACGCAATTATCATCTGTTTAATCCTCATTTTGGCACATTCCTACGGGAATTCCATCGTAAAATTTATGTTCACCCTCCTGCCAAATGCTGATTTAGTCTCTATGTCACTTTTCCCTTGACAAGCTTCCCAGGAGTCGGTTGTTGTTGGAATCCTTCACTTGGTATAACACTAAAGTTAAGCGAACTTCGCAGCACAGGTGGAGACACCAACAACGCAGCCGTTTAAGTCGGCAAAAAAGGACGTTAAATTTGAATGCCCTCTTTCGACGTGCAAAGCTCGTTTAAACAACTCGCACTCTGGCCGACATCAACAGGTTTTGGGGGCCAATCAACCATCCTCATGTAGATACTCTTCTCCTGAAATGTTTACTTATTAATGCTTTTCTAGAGCAGAGCAGTGTGAAGTGTGTTGATCCCTAGCTAGTATGTAATTTCAGGCGACCGCGGCAACGGTTGAAGGGGGCGCACTTGAGAACGCTGCCACAATGGTCTAAGTTGGCCTTGACACGCTGCTTTGATGGGGTGCGGGATGGAGTGGAACCGTGGCCTCAGCACTGACGGTGAGAGCGGTACAAGAGAGTCATGTTTTGTCCACCTTCCACCAATGTCATGCTATGCTTGAAGGGGCGAGTAAGTAGGGACATCGGCCCGTTGTGCTAGAACGATGGTCTTGCACCAATCTCTCTACCTCTCCATTTACCATGCGCAGAAGAAGCGACGTTCTCGTAAGGTCTTACAAAAATGACGACTTTATAGTATTCAAGTCCTCTTCTAAACCTTTTTCACCCTACTTTCAAATGTCAAAAACGTCAATTTTAGTGGTTAGAGTACGCCCATGCCTCCTTAACTATTTCCCCTCCTTCCTACTGCTGTGCAAAAATAAACAAGGTAAGCTTTTTTGTAATGTTGGCCTGTAAACCCAGACGTTTCACATGTCTCCTCTGAGTGGGGGGTAATTTGATGGGTATCACGTGATGAGGTGTACGTGAGTGCTGTCATGTCAACACGAGGAGGTGGAGGAGGCGGGTGGGGCGGGTGGCACAGGGGACAGCGAGGAAGGGCGAATGGGGGACGAGTAATGCAATTGGCTGTTATTTATGGCAATGAGAGAGTCACATGATTGTGTTACTACCATTTTGCACCGCTACACAACGCCAAGGTAGTCTGTAGACCACTGCATGAGTGACTCCCCTAACCAGGCGCACATTTCACGCATTTGGGAGAGATCACTTCTCACCGAACTGTTCCACATACAGTTCACACACACACACCACTTTGAGATTTTGTGAATTCTTTTAACACCGTTATTTATCATGCCAAGTCTTGATTGTTTTTTTTTTTCCTTTTTTTCCCTTCGAGGACAGTGGAACGGTCTATTTAAGAATCCAGTCCCTTGTTTCAATGCCTCTAGCCAAGGTGGAATGAAAATTCTTTGTTGTATTTGTTTTATTTTATTTTATTTTTTTTTGCATTTCAAAGAGTGTTGAGGTGTGATCGAAGTGGCATACAAGACAGGCACCCCTCGACTGTCAGAAGTCTTGTGTTTATATTGCTGTCAAAAAAATTTTGACATCCACGTTGCATCTCCTGAATACGAGGTAATGAGATTAATTGGCGTTTCCTTTCTCCATCAATACGGCAGCCTTGCAACAACCATCGTGGAAGCAGTTAATTAAAGTGGAGACAGTCAACAATTGCAGTAACAACCAGAAAATGAAATTGCCTTTACGTTGACACTCAAATCGGATTTTTGAGTCAAATTAATACAACCGACTTTTTGGAAGACTCTCCTCTCTTGGATGTGCTGAAAGTGCTAAAACGGAAGGAGTGGGAGACTACTCTCTTCCCTAGATTGTGCTAGATGTGGGCAAAAGAATTTGTAGTGCTTAATTCATTTGTGACACATGGCGTGTGAATCCATCGAGGGATGGGTGTGCGTGTGTGTGTGTGTGTTTCTTGTGGTTTGACCTTTCTTCCAAAACCAAGCTGTAGTAGTAGTAGTAGTAGCAGTAGTTACACAAATACCAGAGGCACTGCCGTTGGGCGCCTTATCGCCTAAAGGACAGACAATGGACAGTTTGGCTCGCCTGATGGATGCGAAGTAACAAATGTCACCACACACACACAAACACACCCGGCGCTTGTGTGAATGGCCATAGTGTGGCATCTCGTGGTCCAGGCCGTAGCGCCTTAAAATCCAGTCACTGAGCCTTCGCCGCTACTTCAATCTTCTCACTGTAAAGGTCAATTCGACCATCCTTTTCTCAATTCATCATCCCAGAACGGTTAGCACACACACACACACACTCACGGCAGATGGACCAATTAGACCGCTCTCTTAAACCCATCCAGCTGTTCACAATACACTGCTGTGCAGTCTCGGGTGTTATAAACTGACCAGGGACCCACACCACAAACTTCTGACGTTGGGCTGAG